CAGGAATATATAGGCCCACTTGTATAGGAACCTATTACAAAGAAATATGTGTTATGCTGTGTGCCTTAGATATGTGGCCTAACAGTAAGCGAGTAGGTGAAACCTTTCAGACACTATAAAGTCATTCTTAATCTAACAAGCACATGCATTTCTGTTACAGCTTAGTGTTGATGTAGTTGATCTTACTTTCTTGTTTTGTTTTTCCCCACTGTAACTAGGTTTTTTTCCTGCTGTTAATCTGCTTTTTAATTAAATTTTGTACTGTGAATTCTACAACCTGCTTTTCAGACCTTCATAACACTATTATTATTGATCTACTAGAGTCATCAACAAATGTATTTTACCTCTTCCCGATTGTTTTCTTGTTAACCTAGACAATGTAAAATGAAAATTACAGTGTTTTCTAAAATCTTAGTCGTGCCTTTTTTAGGACTCAACTCTTTTTTCATTTGTCACCGTCTTCGTATTAAAATGTTACGGGATGCTTATCTTAAAATGTTAAGGAAGGCTCAACTTCTTTGTCTTGCAAGACAGAGTGGGAGCTGTGGTTTTGCAGATTTGTTTTCTTTCCAATATTTTTATCAACAGGAGTGGACTCCTCCACACAGTTCTTTCAGCAGAAAAAGGCTGAATGATGACCCTTTTGATGCAACATGATATGGTGACATCATAGAAAACCAAATCCACATCCTGTTGCTTAGACCAAAATTCTTAGTGAGCTCAGAGTTAACTGTTCCAAGTCAGCACTTTCTATGATTCTCTTATTTCTTGATTTTTTCCTTTTTATCCATGAACTGATGTAGTGTTGATGAAGACTCACAAAAGTCATATTTCAATTTTCTTTTGCCTTTTTCATCTCATATTAACCCATGAAGCTCTGCTGGGCTGCATTTCAAACCCGTTATGCTCACAGTGTTCTTTTCTACCATGGTATGCACATAGGTCACCTTGCTGAGTCCTGTGAGAACAAAGATTCATAACCATCCACCCTGTGAGAAGATTTTTAGTAACTTGCTGTTTCTTGTGTCAGGCTCTTTCTTGACATTTTTGTTTCAAACACGTTCAAAGATGATTGTTTCATTTTCTTAGATTGAGAAAATTATAGATTCAGATTTTGGATGCTGGAGACAATACAATAACAGAGAACTCGAAGTGGTGTCAGTTTTTACACAACTGTTAACCAGGAGCTGCAGAATTATTTTGGTGAACAGATCACTTCACATGCATTTTCCAATTGTGTTGAGTTTGTGTGGCAAGGTTTTGGTAGCGAGGGTGAAACATGATCTCTCTCTGTCCTTACCTTGACCCAGGAGCTTTTTGTTATATTTCTTCTCCGCTGTCCAGTTGAGGAGGGGGAGTGATAGAGTGGCCTTGGTGGGCACCTGGCATCCAGCCAGGGTCAACCAACCACATCATTACTGCCATGTGTTTCTTACTGAGAAGTGTATGTCGGTTGTATTATCATTTTATATAAGTAGCACTCATTGAAAGCTTTACCAAATCTAAAGCAAATTTGTGGTCTTTTTTTTTATCCAGAAAATCAGTTTATTAATGTAGGAACTAAATTAGATATATTATCCATACCTCATATCATTTAACTAAAAGAAGCTTACTTGGAGACAGGAAGATATCTGGGAAAATGTATTTAACCAAAAATCTCAGAGGTTCTTTTTTATGAACAGAGTATTTGAGGAATATATTTGGATGAGTGGCTTGGATAAGTGCTGCAGGTTTTTTATGAGCAATTTGCTAATCTGATTTCACTTGAAGTTACAAAATACTGTTTACATGGAGTGGTAAGACAGCCTTACCAGTGATAAAAGTTCATTTCTTTCCTCTTCTGTTTTCCCCAGTTACCACGCTTGTGTGAGACCACATGTACAGTTTAGTACTTTCTTCCAAAATGAATAAATAAAAAAAAATCTTCTGCCATTCAGAAGGATTACCAGGAAACTAAGAGGGCAGAAACGGTTGATGTTTCTGGGATTTTAACTAAAATTAACAACCTGATTAACAAGCAGTAAGTAACAGAAATTCACTGGATGGATTTGCTGGATGCTCAGAGTAAAGTTTCTTGCAGGATACTAGTTATGTCATGAGTTTCAGAAAGAAAGAGAAGAAACAGATGCTAGAGTTTTGGATCCTCCTGTGTGAAACAGTAATATAAATTCTGGTTTGAAAAGCCATTACACTGACTCCCCTGACACCATGGGCCAGCTTCCTTCTGGTTTTGTTTGAGATCTGTCATCACATGTGACCTACCTGCTGAGGATCACACTAGAATGCTTTTTGGTCGCATGCTGTGGGGGAAATACTAAATGGCTGAGAAATAATACATTAATAAAGTACATTTTGAAGTCATATAATTCTGAATACCTATTACAACTGAGGTCTTAGTTGTGATAGGAAATAAATCAGATTCTTATGGAGTCTAAATTGGCCTGGAGTCACATTAATCTCTCTGATGTCCTCTGACACAACTTCTGATGATGTAGATTGGTAACAGGTTATTCCTTCCCCTCGCATGGATCATAATACTGTAGCTTCCTTCAGTAATATACAAGATCAGTACTTTACAAAAGATGCAACCCTAAAAAGTGTTTCACAAAACATTATCTAAATTTTACAAAAATGAATAACGTGAGACATTTCATTTGCACTCCATTAAATACCCATCTATCTGGATGTTTAGCTGTTCTGTTACCAATTCAGATTTTCTGAATGAGTATTTATGGAGTTGACCTTTTGCTGCATTTTACAAGAGAATGTAATGATACAAACTTGTTCAGAGTTGAAAATGCTAGAACACAGTCATTAACCAAAAATGATGCTACAATATTTTATTTTATATCTCAGATTTTCCAAAGCTTTAATGATGAATGAAACTTTTCCTTTTTTTACCTTTGCCTCAGAAATCCTGTTGAGTGCAGCAGTAGGTACGTGGTTCATGTATTAGCAGTAAATTAAGACTTACTTTCTCCGAAAGAAAGGTACCACCTAGCTGGTTTTAGGCACTGCTTTTTTTGACAGGATTACTGTTGGATGGTGGAGTTAGAACTTGGTCACCAGAGAGGTGGTAGAGATGAAACCAGACACAGCTCACATTTGCTTCTCTAGGTTTGCAGTGCAAATTCTTAAGTTCACAACATGTCTGTCTACAAAGCAATTTTTCTGCGGTGTTCTGATGTGGAATTTACTCTTAAATTATTTTTTCCTTCCTTTTCATTGTTTTTCGCCCCACATGCTGACTGTGTATCTTCACTTGTACCTGTCGTGCTAGGTAGGTGCTAGTCAGGATACATACATAAATTTTTTCACATCTTTTGTTACTGGTTGAATGACCTTTTACACTTCTAATAGAATTTCAAAGGCAGTTCTGTTTTCTTAAACTCTATTCCACGTATGATGATGTGTGGAACTCGTGTGTACATCCGTTACAGGAGCACAGCAGTTGTGGAAGCCATGAGGAATAGTTAGCACTGGCAAAAGAGAATTTATGTAGATGTAAGTGGCTTACCCTGAAGGTCATAATTAGTGAGTCTTGTGATTAAAATTTTGTCAACCTTTAAAAAAAATGTCTAGAGGCAGTGACTCATTGTATATAGCATTTACCTCTTTGACATACAAGCCTGTTAGGAAGAGATGCAAAAATCTTTCTGAAATGCTCCTGAGTCCTATTTTTGAGAAAAGATGAGACAAGAGGTGACTTGAGTGGGAAATCCCCTTAGAATATGTCTAAAGTAAGCTAATGTATTATATTAAAATATTAGAACTATAGCATGGTATTTTGCAAGGCCTGTTTCCCCAGTATACTAGCTCTGGTTTATTTTTAATAATAGCATTTGGTTTATATTCAGTATTATTGTCTGTATATCACTATATACAGTTATCTGAAAGCAAGATGTTGCTTACACTAGGATTCCCTGAAGCTGCCCTTGGTCAGCCAGGATACTCATAATCTTAGAGGATTGAGTCTTTGGTAAATATAATAATAATAATAATGATAATAATGATAATAATGATAATAATAATAAACTAACATGAAGAGGAAGAAATTTCTTTTTCTCCCCAAGTATT